TGGATGTTCTTGCAGAGGACCCGGGTTTGATTCCCAGCACCTGCATGGCAGCTAACAACCCTCTGTACCAGAAGATCCTAAAACCCTCTTCTGACCGCTGCAGGCATTGTACAACATGGGTGCACTTACATATGCAAGCAATACACTCATTAAATAAAAAATAAACTAATTAATTAATTTAAAATTTTTAAAAAATTCAGAAAAGTTCTAACAGTAAAATCCTCCAATCAGTCAAATGCTAACTTTGCAACCTATCTAAAAAACAAACATTTAAGCTTTCAAAAAAAAATAAGAAGAATTTATTGGACAATATGCCAATTCTGATGAGACCAAACTATTATGACTCATTTCATGATTCATACGTAATGAAGTATTTTCAGCTTGTTAACTAGTGAGCCAAAGCAAGATCAAAACATGTTTTAAAGTTGTCTAAAACTGCTGTGTCAAATATGAGTACTACAACATTCTTTGCTTGGACTTATCAGGGTAACAGATTATAGTTAAAAATTATTTGTAAAGCACCTTAGTACTATAAATAAGCTATAGTAATCTGAAGCATGTTCCTTCCAAGTTTCTAATAATTGCTACACAATATTTCTCAGCTGTTAAAGTAAAGCAGAGATATCAATAATTCTTAGAGAACATATCAAAACTAGTTAAATAACTGTTGGATGTTTAATGCCCGCACAAGTACAGAAGGCAATGAAGGATTTATGATGAATAAGAAATATGAAGCCTGTTTCTTATGCTGCTCCAGACAGACAAAAAGCAAACAGTTCAGTTAAGAAATCAGGAAGGATGGTCAAGAAGGATATAAAGTAGAGTGATAGGATGAAAACAAGGGACATGGATTAAGTGGTCAGAGACATCTATGAGGGAGAAAAACAATGCAGAATGCAGAAGCTCAGTTTACAGGTAAAATCAATTGAAAAACACTCTATTTTATTTCTATTTCAGTCATTCATTTTGTGCTATGGGGATTGAATCTTCTCCCTCTGTAGTATAACTCCAGTCTTAATTTTACTTTTTATTTTGAGGCAGGATCTCACTGAATTGCCAAAGCCTGCCTTGAACTTGACCTTGTATTCCAGGGAGACCTTAAATTTGTGATCCACCTGCTTCAGCTTCTCAAATAGCTGTATTACAGCCTGTACCACTAAGCATAACTGATAGGCCTCAATGTAGAGAATATTAGATAATTATAAGATGACTAGTGTCTGCAGCTGGTATGATATGCAATATACTGAATAAAATATGAACATTTCTACGATATGGTGATTCTAAATTGAGCCAAGTATTGCATTCAATATAACAATTATATAAAACTAGCATTGATATGTATAACTTCATATACATGTTAATGTATCAATGGATGTCAGAAATTATTCACATCAGGGGTGATCTTGGTGATGGTTAGAATAATCAATGCAACTTTTAACCTTATCAGCATGTTTTAAAGTTGTAAAAATAATATATATTCATGCATTGCTTTTGTAATTAAAAACTAACTTTTAAAAAAGTTACAGACTTGACAAACCAAAATCAAAATACATTTTCTAATTTCAACCTTGTTAGTACAACCTTAAAAATGTTATTTAAGTCAACCTGGAGATAGCCTGGAAGGCTCTTCCCTGAAGACTAACTCTCATAGAATCGGCAGGTTCTATTCAAACTGCCAACAGAGAAAACCAATCCATGCTCTAAAGTCTACAAAACACAACAATGACCAGCCCAAGAAACATCTGTCTTGCTACAGTAGGGGTACTTTTATCTTGGGGGCAGGTAATCAACATCTGTCTAATTGAGTTTAATAGGCTTGTCCAATAGGAGGAAATCTATGCATGATACTCTGAACATTGCCAGGTACATGAGTCTGGAGAGGTCATAGACCCTAGAGAAGATTCTACAACCATCGGTTCCCTAAACCAATGTAAATTATTAATATAGTCTATATTTGCACTTATATTTACTGGTGAGTTCCATGCCAGCTGGGCTACAGGGAGCCCATTCATCAAAGAAGCTTCTTTTTGCAACAGAAAAACACTATCAAAAAGTTTCACAACTGATCAAAATGCAGAGAATAAGCAACAATGAGGTGGTAGCTATCCCTGATTGATACATATACAATGTAACCCATAAAACTAAGTCTTAGAGAACATCTCAGAAGGCGGGGGTATGTAGGAAGATTCCAAGAACCACAACATCTGCTGCTAGATGTATTCTGGACATGTTGGGGAAGCTGCAATAATGAAATCTCCACAGTATGGTAGGCTAAACAAGATCTGCATAATGACACCAGTAGACAAGTCAATGTGTTTGGGGAAATTTCATAGGGTCCCAGGGTCGATGAAGAGCTATAGGCGATCAATGCTTGCTGGGGGCAGGAGAATAAGTTTTCTCCAGGGACTAGCTCCCTGACAGATTATGTAATTCCAATGGTTATATGTACATAAGTACATACACGAACACAGGAGCAACACTAAATGGACTCGGTGCAGTACATATAATATATACATATATGTATGTACATATATGTATATGCAACTAAATATTTAATAAAGAGGACAAAATATTGACAGGGAGTGGGAAATAATTTGATAGGAGTTGGAGGTTGGAGAGACAGGAGTGGCACTGTTGTAGATACAGGACTTATATAAGAAATTCTCAAAAATAATAAAAATTTAATTTTCTAAAAATGAAAAGTAAAAAAAAATAAAAAGATGCAGACTTGACAGACCAAAATCAAGACATTTATTTATTTATTTATTCATTTATTTATTTTTGATTTTTTGATACAGGGTCTCCCTGTAGCCCCAGCTGCCCTGTAACTCAATATGTAGACCAGATGGCCTTGAACTCATAGAGATCTACCTGCCTCTGACTTCCGAGTGCTGTGATCAAAGGTGTGTGCCACCATGCTCAGCCTATGTTTTTTTTTTTAATTTCTACTTTATTAGCACAATCTTAAAATATTATTTGTCAACTCTTTTCTGTATAAAAAGAATCTCTTTAATATTAACTTTCCTTGGAAAAATGTATGCACAAATGTGCATACTGAAATTGCATTGCTAAAATTATTGTACATCTTATCATGAAATAAGATTAAACTGGAGGGAGGAAATGTGAAAAGAAGAAACAGAGTTGCCTTACCCTTCACTGTCTAAAACCCACCCAGAGAATAATTTTGACAATAAACTTTGGTAAATAGTGTGATGAAAGAAGTTCTGTTTCTTGGTCCTTTTTCAGGACATCAAGGAACATGAACTACATTGATCTCTTGAGATTATCTGGTTTGAAATGCAAGAAAACATGCTTCCCCTCCCTAGCTTTCTTCAAAGACCATGTATAAGCTGAATTTCATAAATCTACAGGTGTTTCTTTGTCGTGAATAAGGGGCAATTTATCAGCAGATACTAGGAAAGCAGAATGTATTGATTCCTGAGACTAACACTGACCTCAAATGCAAAGAGTTTTATAAACAAAAACTAACATCTACTTTCATAAAGCAAACTAAAAGAAGGTATCAAACAGGGGAATGTGTCCTCTTGTGGTATTCAAGTGTTCCGTTAGTAGTCCTAATAGTTTGGGAAAACTTACACCTTCTTTTCAGATCAAAGTGCAATCTATAAACTAAAAAATGTTGAAATAAATCAGAGTTCATCATTAGTCACTGATAAACGCAAGGAGCTATTATAAGGAATTTGACACAGCATGTATTTTATTGAGCAGAAAGCAATCGGATCATCATGGTATTATACCTTTCCTATGCCTAAAGAACATCCTAAGGTGCTCTCACCAAAGTCTCTAGCTATTTCCTGAGACAGAAACCTTGGGAAAATTCTACTACTGTAAATTTCTCAAGAAATCTTCAAAACAATGCACTAAAGACATCTATAAAAGTATTTAGCTCATATTATCAGCAGAGCAAGTTTGGCGTCTCCAAGGTTCCAAGAAGGCATTACCTAAAATATCAGATCCTATACCCTAAATGCTTAATATTATTCACACTTTGGTTCTCAAAAAGAAAATTGCAATTTAAATTTACACCGAGTATTCAAGGTGTACTGTTAGAATTCCGATCCCATGAATTCCAAGAATGTTCCTCTTCTATACTTCTGATGTAAGAAGCATCATAAAAATGTTAGTGATAGTCATATTTAGAATGTATAACACTAAGACAACATTGCAAGACTATATACCTGGTAGTATTAGCTTTTATCACTCATTCGGCATTTATTGCCTCTCCATTCAACAAAAACAGAAAGCAAAGCAAAACAAAAAGGTTGTTATGCACATAAGTCTAAGACCTAATTGTGTATTTTCTGCTTTTTCACTCACGCTAAAACCTCATAGAGTTATCACTGAGCTGAAGACGAATTCTCGGATATACTGTACTTAATTTTAAGAATAACAATAAAAACACATGGAAGAACCATTCATGCTTATTAGTATAGTTATTTTCTTTTGTCCACATGAATTCATAAAATGTAATAATAAATATTAAATATCACTCAATTTTTATAATAGTACAATTTGGAATAACCATATAAATATTGCATTACATTACTCTGATAATAAATTCAAGGTCATGTAAGTAATGTTTTGGCTAAATGGCTAGACAGATTGCTGTTTTATGTGACAAAGCTAACCCAAATTACGTAGAGCAGGATGTAGCATTTGAGTTTCTATAATTCTAAAGTATCATTTGAGCTTCTATAATTCTAAAGTATCAGGGCTTTAAAAAAAAAAAAAAGCCCCATGGAATTTGCATCTCAATGTGCCTTACACATTAAGTAATGCCATCCTATCTTGAAAAGTAACCAATGATATCACACACAAACACATTCATCATGCTGCCATGAGGAGTCACAAAGAATGCTTTGTCTCTGAGTAAAACTCACGTCCCACTGAATTATATTCCTGTTAACTAGCAGACAGCTAAAATTATTTAACGTACTTTGTTTACTACAAAGTAATATCAGAAAACATCTGCCACTTACGTTTTTGAGTCATCCCACAAGACACAATAGGGGTTCAAAGTACCCTAAAAATAAACACACAGAGAATAAATTATACCTTTACTGCATATACAAAAATCAAAAGGCTGAGTGAAATGCAAAATGGAGGACGAATTTCTAATCTTGTAGTAAGATACTTTAAAGATTCTACACAAGTTTTCACTATAAGAAATGTCTATTTCTTTTCCCATAAATTTGATGACTCACATTGTAAAATTCTATGAAAGCAAAATCCTTTTTTCTCAGTATCACAATCTGTAATTAGTTTTGTTGAAAAAGGAAACCAAATTTCTCATATATGGAGGTCCATGATTTTGTGATTTCTATATCATACTTATTTCCCTCATTTTAATTACTGGATTACTTTCTTTAAGAAGGCCACGGTATATTTCACAAGTACACCAGAGTAACACATTCCATATTAATATGGATACACAGCACCACCATCTCATCTTTGGGTTGGTTTTTTTCCTAGAAGAGGGGATTGCATAAACTGCCCTTTTCCAGAGTCAGCCGACTAACAGAAATTTCTCAATCAAAAGATCATACTTCATTGGGTTCATAAGTAGCAAAATTTTAAGAAAAATGTCCTGGATTTTATGCAGTTTAATAATGCATTAAGCACCCACCATGACCTTTAGGTTAACACAATGGATTTCTTACACTGAGATAACCCAAATAATACGTGTCCTGAAGAGCTCTGAGCACTGGAAAACCTTTTCTTCTCTGTCTGTTCACATTCATTGAGGGTTTTTTGTTTGTTTGTTTGTTGTTTTTTTTTTTTGTCACTAAACTAATTTTCTAGGTAAAATCTTCAGCTGGTCATAAATTCTATCATGCTCTTAAAGGGATTTCTTTCATTCATTAAATATTCTGTGATTTCATGTTTTGTTACTCTTCATATTGTACACTACCTGAAACATATTCTGAAAGTCCTTTCAGGGAGGTCACCTACTTGTGTCCAGTCTGTGCAGAGCAAAGTGATTCTATTTCTTGTCCAGTTGAGAAGCCATATTTATAGTAATGTAAACTCAGATTTTATCAGCCTGAGGTCTCTTTCTGAGCTTGAGAGATATTATTTTGCTTCTTATTCGCAGCACCTTAATGCAAGCTTTTTAATTCAGAATTTGGCATCCCACACAGTCACTATTTTTTTCCCAAAATTTAGATCATTGCAGGATTAAGAAACAAATATGACTATGCCGTCATTCACTCAAGACTAATAAAAATGATGAACAACCTAACACAGTAAAAAAGTGCAGTCCTGAAAAGCAGTACAGTGTCCCTTTCCTAGGTAGACTTGTTTCTTGAGAAGCAAGCAAGTTATGATCCATTTCTTAGGCCTGTAGCTTTATCATTACTGGGTTCAAAGTGGAGCTTTCTGAATTATCTGGAAAGGGATCATGTGGGATGTGCCTTTTTCAGTAGTATTTGCTGGGTTGACTTTCGAATTTTGTTAGAAATAAAAAATAACCTCACTAAAATTTATGAAATCCACTCCAACCTTATTTGTTATTCATTTTAATTCCTGCATTTGAGTAACTTCAATACCACATTTTTTCCTGAAAACCCTCAAACGGCATTTTACTTTGTATCATGCACTCAGACCAAAACACTTTGGTTCTATACTTTAAAGCTTAAATATATCTCCTTTTCTGAAAAAAATGGTTATAGTCTCTGGAAGTAGATATGGAACACTGCTGTGTGGGTTTATGTAACAATAGAAGAGATTCAAACCTCGCAAGTGAGAGTTTCCTAAGGAAGAAACATGCTCTGTGCTAATCAGAATGAATTTAATGGAAGAAGTCAATCCTCATGTGGTTCTTACAGAAAGAATACATTTGGATTTTCATGAGAGGAAGGCGAAGGGTATTTCAAATTGATTTCTTCTTTTACTTTGTAAGATCTTCTCTGAATGCTCCTGAATTTTTCATGTAGCATTTTTTTTTCTGATAAATTCTCAGTATCGCTAAAATGTTGTATTATGCAGTTATGCTGTATTTATCCAACATTTTATTCAAAGGGGGTCAGATCATTTTACAGACAACAAATTGTCCTAGGATTATTACAATGAATGATTTAAGAGTGAATCAAAACCAACTGTAGGCAAGAAACCTGATTTGAGGGATCTATGAGTTAAGTTAAATCTCTCTATAAAGTCAAGATGCTTTTTAAAAGTTATTTATTATTTTTATTTTTTTATGTATGAGTGTATTGCCTGCATGTATGTCCACTCATGTCGTGCAATGTCCATGAGGTCAGAAGAGGGCATTGGATTCCCTGGAACTGGAGCCACCATGTGGATGCTGGTAACCTGAACCTGGGTCTTCTGCAAAAACAGCCAGTGCTCTTAACCTTTGAGCCAGCTCTCCAGTCCCCAAAGAGAGGATTCTTAGGATCTGCTTGATATTTTTTAATTAGTGTTTGTGATGGTTTGAATGAGACTATCTCTCTAGGTCCAAGAATTTAAACATTTTTTCCCTAGTTGATGGCACTGTTTTAGGAGGCTTTAGGAAGTATGGCAATGACATGCTGGGAAAAGCACTTCAAATGGGAGGGGGTTATACAAGGGACCTTGGGGATAAAGGGAAAGAAGGAGCTCAAGAGAGGTAGGACCATAGGAGATGTGTATTTTCAAGGGAGAAATGGAGAAAAAAGGAACACTTTAAATGGGGAAACCATGGTAGAAAGAGAGAGAGAGAGAGAGAGAGAGAGAGAGAGAGAGAGAGAGAGGAATAATGCTTAGTTAGTTTTTATAAACCAGAGGGAGTCATATTAGCCCAACAACCTACTGAAAAATTACATGTACATTATCTCTACATGAGTCCATATTTATAGCTAAAGGCTACATAACAAAGAAACAGTGCCAGACAGGAGATACCTTCCTTTGAGTTGTTCTCCAGGGCGGTCCAAGAGACTCTCAAAATTACTCAGGCTATTGCCTAAGACCTCAATGGCTTCCCAGAACTTGAAGGTAAGACCCTACTACTGAAGACAGAACACACTTCAGACACAGGATTTGGAGCACTAGAGCTGCAACTGACCTGCAGTCACTTCTCCCCAAGCTTAGCATTCATCAATGGATGATCCAACACCAGCTTCAAGACCAAATAACCACATCAATGGCCAGCACAACTTACATCATTAGTGCAGTATTCACACTTTTATCCTTGGGGCAATCAACAGTTACCTAATTTGACTAAACACCCACTCACAGGGAGAAAATTCAAGTGTAGTAATGTACACATAACCTAATACACATGGCTGGAATGGACATAGATCTTAGAGAAAACCCCAAGACTGTCACGTTGCTAGACCAATGTGATTTCTTACTATGTGCAAAATATGTATCCTTATATTTACAGACAAATATCCCAGTCACCACTCATCAAAGAGCACATTTTGCACCAGTTAGAGACTAGTACCAAGTACCACAACTTGTCACACACAGACATTGTCTCTGGGCTTTAAGAATTTTTAAGCCTTGCAACATCCTCATTTTCTGTTTCCTGTACCTGCTTGAAGATGTGAGCACTTCACTTTCTCCTAGAGTCACCTCCTGCCACCATCCCTCTCCGCAATAACAAGCTCCTAACCCTCTGGAACCATAAGCTAAATGAACTCTTCCTTTTATAAGTTCCTTGGTCTCAGTGTTTTATCACAGCAAAAGAAAAGTAACTAATACACTGTTAATTGCTGATTAAAACAAGAGAATAATATTAGAAAATAAACACAATATAATCTTAGTGCATTGGATATCTTCTTTATCTTTGTCTAAAGAAACTTTAGATAAAACTCTAAAGCTGAGACATGCTTTTTCTACTCCTGCTCCACATATTTGTCTACATTTAATTTTCTTTTATATTTTTTGTCCCTTTACCTCTTAGATCCTGGTGCATGCTTTTCTCACTCCCTGTCCTTACCAAAACTGTAACATGGTTCACGTGAGAATTAATAAAGGTACCAAATGCACCATCCCACCTGGTGTGCACAAACAGGCAAATAGTCCTCTGGATAGTCTAAAAGAGCTGCTACTGAGTGCACTTAGGTGCTGTGGTCAATAATTAAGCCTTTGAAATTTAGAAAAGTGGACAGAAGAAGAAATTACAGTAATTCTTAGTCCCTGGATAGACTAGAAAATACCATGGAAGTGAATGTGGTGGCATATGCCTTTAATCCCAGCACTAGGAAGGCAGAAGCAGGCTGGGCTCTTTGAATTTGAGTCCAGCCAAGGTTGCATAGTGAGATCCTGTTTGAAAGTAACAACAACAACAAACCCAAAAGAAAAACATGAATAAATAAATAAAAATTAAAAAAATAAATTAGATGGAAGGCATGAAGCAATAAACTTCCCCCAAAAGGTGCTAAATGCTTCTACCAAGAAACTGTAAAATATTTGTTATAAATTTCAGATACTTTTCTCAAAGGGACTCTGCTACAAGATCTGTTATGAGGAATTTATAGGAAATCAATAACAGAGTAGTTAAGAAAGCAGTAACAGAATGTAAGGACAGGAACAAGCAAGCATAAGCAAGCTGGGAGCTACTCTCTATAAGCAGAAGAGAAATACACTAACAAAAGTCAGGAATATGAGACAGATGGGCTAACAATTAATTTACCAAGCTGTCATTATAATTAATGGTTAAATGTATTGAAACTGTGTATCTTTAAATTTTTTGGAAAATATATGCTTTTCTTGAATGGCATACTTTTTTGTAAAACAAACAAACAAAAAACACACACACACAAAAGAAATCTGCCTCTTTAGATTCAATTTAAGCTGTGTAAGTCAACTGAAGTTAAACAATATTAGTTGCACACTTCTAAGCATTTTAAAAAAGTGTCATGATCCACATTTTCTAATTACAAGGCAAGACAGAAAGATATGGAAAATGATGGGAATGTGGGAAGGGAAAGAAGTTCCTCATTCTGGAGCCTGGTTGAAACCTCTTGCCCCTAAGAGTCAAGAATTCCAGCACAATCAACATTTGCTTAAAGCCTTTCTCCTTTTCCAGCATTTAAAGCT